AAGAGTAGATGATAGCATGTGGGCGGACGTGGAGCCAGGTTAAAATGTTGGTGGAGAACCGAACGCAATGAAGACGTGCGGCTGAAGCCATATGTTCCTCTAGGAACTAAAGGAGACAATTTATATATATATATATATATATATATATATATATGATAAAGCGAATTGTCAGTACGAATGATGTTTTACGTAAGATAAAAACCTGATTCTTTTACCACAGTAATTTAAGCAGTCCTAAACCTCGTCTAGTTTACCAGTCACTATTAGGCCAAGGAAAGGAGGAAGGTTAGCTGTAAGCTAATGAACCCTATCCCGTAAAACACCACCAGCGCTATTCAAATTCCAAAGTTCACGCTTGAAACCTTATATTCCACTCGGAACATACAAAGGAATGAAAAATATTACATATATAATGCGATCATAGTAACACTTTTACTGTTTTCCAGTCTTAATGTTTTCAGTGGCTTAAAGTTTTTTGTTGCATTAAGGAATTGTTTATGTTGTATGTGTATATATGTATGCTGCTTTTGAGGATAGTTTCATTGTTAGTTTATCACTATTTTCTATTTTATTCGCATTGTACAAATAAGCTAATTGATGGTACTAATATTCTTTGGCAATAAATTATCTAGTTTGCAAGTATGTTCTCTACTAGGAGAATAGATATTAATTACTAACATATGTGTAGCATATTGTTAACATACTTTGAACACTGGAAGTAAAATGAAGGCAATTAGTGTATAGAGAATCTAAACCGACACGCTGACTTCACGAGTATCTTTTGAAATAAGTCAGCGGAATAATGAGGCCTTAATATGATGAAAATATTGCAAATACTGTCTTAACTGACAGCTGGTCATTGGTAGCACTAATCAGAGTTATTCATTATTCATGTCCTGTTTGTTCTACAAAATAGTGTCGTATTTCTTCGTAATGAGTCATACTTTCGGGCATAAATACATATACGTGAATGAATATGTATTATTGTACCATATTAGCTATAGATTGTTGGTTTATCATTAGTCTGTTATGACTGTCTTCATTAGGGTTAATGAGTTTCTGTCTTTGCTTCTCACGATTAATCTTTTTTATTGTATTTTTTAAATTATTTTTGCTAGAATCCACTCAACATTGTTAAAAGCATGAAAAAAAGGTATTTTAATAGCTTAGATATTTGTATACAAGCAATGGATGATGGTTGAAGGTGAAGCCAAAATCTGAATTGTAGTCAGTGTTTAAAGAATCGACCTCATGATTACTGGCTCCGTGCTCCATCGTCTAAGGCAGTTGAATATCGTTTTCATTTCACCCTTAATCATCACTATCAATCTGTCAATCGAAAAAACAATTTCATTCTTGAGGCGTTTTTGTATACAGAAACCATGGACTGTTGCTTTGTGGATAACTGTTTGATGGTTATCTCTTCCATTGGTATTGAAAAATGTAGTGTTGGTTAATTTTATTGAAAAGTATTTTGGATTTTTTACGTGCCTTGTGTAGGTGTTTCAGAATGTTTGCCAACCATGCGGGGGATACGGGTTCGCTTGTCCGCCAACATTGCCTAGTTTTCTAGCAAGCAGTAAGCCCGACAAGGAGGGATTGTTAAGTGTGTTGCCAGCATCCCCCACCTCGCAAAAAACAACACCTCTACTGGGATTTAAAAGATTAAGGCTTGAAGCCCCATGTTTCACTTAGAACACCAAGGAATTCAAAAGAATTTGTGTGCAACCATAAAGCGTTAAATTTAGATTCTTACTTTCATCTTAATTCTTTCCTATCAGTAATACAAAGTAGATAATGCTCACTAAAGCAGCATTTATTTTCAGGATGGTTCCTTATGAAACATATACACAGTGATACAGTATGTTTAGCGAAATACTGTTGTGGTTGCTATTTATTATTCATTAAGCCATTAAAGCTTGAATCAGTAGTGGAAAGGCACTGATAAAGATAATGCTGTTTTCTGAATTGCCCAACCATTCTCTAAACATACAATTACTGGAAATAGTTGATTAGTCTGCACAGCGAACAAGTTTGTTTTTGCCAATGTTTTAGACACCCTATAGAGATTTACCAATAGTCTGTAGTAAGCATTACTATCTGTCTGGATATAAATTAGGGCATTTGTCGACTTTCATTGTTTCTCCTTATTAACTTATGCAAAGAAATATCTGAAAGGCTGTTCAAAGTATATTTTATTTTATCTGTAAGAATGATCGTTAAAATATAACAACTCTATTAGAATTTAAGATAATTAATAAATTTGGATTGTGATATATACATAGGCGAAATTTATCTACATCAGCTTGTCAGTTCAAACGCTATATGTAAAGAAATGTATTACCTACTGACGAATTTCTGTGTGCTAGGTCACTTTTGAAAGGAATCTAGTTCTAATAGTATTCTTATCTCATCAGCTGGATTTCATTCTAAAATAATATCACTTTCACTAACTACGGAACAACAAGTAACTGTGTGTAGTCCTCCAGATGATTTCCCCTGATAAATGTAATACATTGGATACGGTCATTTATTTATTTTATAAGTATGGATTAAAATGGTGAATTATAAGTTCTCTAAAGAAAATGGCTAGACATTGAATATCTAACCAGAAATCGCTTTACTTAAGCCAATCTTATCACATGTCTGTCGTCATTTCAAACTTTTCTGCAATATTTTATTGCACAGAAGGTATATCTGAAATCTTCACTTCTATTACTGATCATTATGATTTTCTTGGGTTTCAAATGGAACATGGGCACTTCAGCAGCATATATCTACAGTGTTCTTAGCTGGCCTCACGAGTCCCCTTAGACTTTCGTCTTCTCCTTACATGATCTCCTCCATGTCACCCTCGCACCTACACCGAATCGTCATTCGTCATTCAGATTTAACTTGAAGACTTGCCACGTAATTTCACTCAATAGTTTCCTCAACGTATATGCAATTACTCTCCATTTCCTTCTGCATATTTTTTGGGTGATAGGTTCTCGGTTGGCTAGTTGTCAGAGTTCCTTGTTGCTTATGCTTCGTAGTCATCTGATCTCGAGAGTATAGCGAAGGCAACTAGTGAAGAAATCAACCAGCAGGCTGTTGGAAATGCTATTGACGACATGCGCTCCACGTCTAGGAACCATATAGAATCACTGACTTGACATTAGTACTGAAGATCTGGATCTTGTTTTATAATGCTGAGTGCAGTAAATCTTCACACTAATTTCACAGTAATGAAGGTTGTTTACTCGTAACCTTAAAAAATATCTCAGATTGATAATCCGCTTTCAAGGTAGATGAACAGATGAATAAATACTTGTGTCAACCGAATCAGAGGTGACCATCGCATGGTGCATTAACCTAATAGATAATACTTTAGCAGCTGAAAAGTTAGATAACGGGTTCAAGTCTCAGTCGGAACACTATCACTCATTAGAATGCAAGGATATCCTACTGACTAGTCCCAAAATAAGACGAGACGCACTTTCTAGATTCTACTATACATCCTGTTAAAACTTTAATCATTTAACTCACCAGATGATTTATTTAACTATCATTTCTTTTATTTATTTAGTCGACAAGCATTTAATTTTATCTGACAAAAACTCAATGTTTTCATTTAGACTTTTTATATAATATCATGTATTAAGATAAGCAAATAACAAATACGAAATTCAAAATCCAACTGATTACATGATAAAAAGGGGGAAAAGATCAAATATCTTTACTCATTGCTGGTCTCGCAAAATAGGCAATAAAAAGATTAATCTTTGCATTTTAATCCATCAGTCTGTGATAATGTAAATAACTTAAAATTATTATCTTGAACTCCTCGTTGATTGATTTCATCAAACTGAAATGTTCAGTCTCTGTTGGAGTCTGAAATGATTAGCGCCAGTTTCCGATCTCAATGAGAACACCATCAGTTTTATTAGGGACCGAGGTGCACCCTTATTCCAACTCAGTATGATTATGACTGACAGTAGAAGACCTATATAGGAATTCAATGTAATGAAAAACAGCCGGTAACCTTATCATTCCTTCACATGACATCTAGAAATTACGCGTGGTGATTGCTGTAAAATGGTAACCGTAATTATCAGTTGGGTCTCGTGGCTCATCTGGTAGGGCAATGGACTAGTAATTCAGAGACCACCTGTTCGAATCTTTCTCTGATCAATTCCTGCTACATTTGCTACCATCACTATCAAAAATAAAAATAAAAAACACCAATTACAAGAAAAATAGACATTTCAAGTAGCTGATTTAGTCATTGCCTTTTATTGTTAGAAATGTGAACTGTGATAACTACGCTGGATTCACAGGTTGATTTTTCATTGTTAAATTCCTAGTACCTTTTAAGAAAAATGTTTCAGATATCATGTTGTATTTCTAAGTAAACAAAAAATGCTGTAAATTTTAGACAACTATTTCTTCATAAACTAATTTATTGTCACAATTTAATAACTGTGAAACGGCTGTTTAAGATAAGTAAGCTTACTCTTTGATTTTTACGTATATGTATACATATATTAGGTTGGTTCGTCAGGATTCATGTCGGTCCCAACGCCAAGTAGTATCAGCTGTAAGAACTACTAAAGGCTGATGAGTACCAGACTGTTGTTGTGTCCTATCTTGGCAGTTACACAGGTTGTCCATTGGATGACAGTCTAGGAGATGGCTAACTTATATGATCTCTCACTCATTGTATAGACGCACTCTCAAACAAAAGGCGAGCGATTCTGGGACATCATACATAAGTCTACAGCAATGTGCACAGTATTACATTTCAGTTAACTGGTCAGATTCCAGGTATACATGAAAGCCAATTTGTACAATATAGCTCCGTTTTCATATTAATACCTATTCACAGATGAGGATAAGCGAAAGGGGAAAATTGGTTGTTTCGTTGTAATTAATTAACAATGTAGCTGTAAAGAAACATTGTTGATATTGTTGCTTATATTACATTTTCTTTACACTTACCTTTCTATCTAATTGAATAGGCCCTTTATGAAGATATGCTACGTGAATACTCAGAGTCTAAACCATTCGAATTAACTAACAGTCGTGGACGTGATCGTCAGCGAAGCCAATCACGTAATGCTGCAGACAATGATAACAATAACAATAGTCATGTTCGTAAGACATCACGTGGTTATGATGTCAGACAATTGGAAAGACAAATTTCTGATCTGAAAGCTGTAAATGCATCATTGAAACAAACTATTAGCGACAATTCAATGCAACTATCAAATGCAACATCTACTACAGTAAGTTATGCCAAAAGTTCTTCACGTTGGTTAAGTAATATTGATGTTATAAGAAGTTTATACGTTTATTTAGTTTTGTTGCATATTTAACAGGATAATTTGGAATATGTAGCTGTTAATGTCACTACTCTTGCCATTATTTCATATAACGTCTTGTTATTTATCTACTTATTGATCCCTTGGGTTCCGAGTGGAACATAGAGATTCAATATCACATTTCCTCTTTGTCCTGTTCTCTGCAGTCGTCTTTAGCTGGCCCCATGATTGTCCATAGTCTCTCACCTCCTCCTCACAGGATCTCCTTCATATAACTCTCCGCCACCCCACTTGTAGTTTCCCATTCAAGTTTCACTCGAGGGCCTGGCACACTATGTTACCCAACGGTCTCCTCAGCGTGTGTCCGATCTATCTCCATTTTCTCCTACATATTTGTTGAGCAATAAGTTACTGGTTGGTTCGTTTCCAGAGCCTCCTGATGGTAATTCTTTCTGACCATTTTTTCTTCTTTACGGAGCGGAGGCAACTATTAATAAAAGTCTGCAACCTTTCGGAATTACTTTTCATGATGCGCCAAGTTGCTGACCCATGGAGACGAACTGACTTAACATTGGTGTTGAAAATCCGAATTTTGTTATTTATGTTAAGGGTGGAGGACTTCCAAAGTGATTTCAGAGTGATGAAGGTTTGGCTTGCCTTTGTGATTCTGGTTTTGACTTTCTAATCCGTTCCACCTGCAGTTGAAACGATGCTGCCCAGATAAGTGAAGGAAGTATCCTCTTTCAAATTTATTCCGTTGATAGCACTTGGTGTTTGTTGTTAATTGGTTATTTTCATCACTCCGTTTTCTTTATGCTCACCTGAAGTCCTGCCTTTGTTGCTTGCCTCTTCTGTCAACTTTTTGGTTTTCGCCCGTAGGTTTTCGAGTTTGTGACATTAGAAACTAATCATCCGCGAAATTCAGATCTTCCAGAGTTTCTTTCGTGCAACATATTTGTGTCTTCTCGCTCCCCATAGTCTGACGCATAATTCAGTCATCAGTGATAGTAGTCAGACTGCTTTGCATTACTCCTTGAAAGGCTACTCTGTGTTTTGGGTTGTGGGTCACCTGACACGTAGTGTCATCATATAGCTGTTGAATGAGGCTGACAATATTTTAGTTTGGATTAATAAATGTGTAAAACTAAGACGATGAGGTACCATTTAATTCCACATTTATTTTTTTATTGTGTGTACCACGCCATGAAACGGTATTACTTACTGAATAATCCTTCCAACATAATTTATTGTTCACAATCATTTCAGCTTTATACTAAACAGCTTCGAAACTCGGTTTTCCTCTTTCCTATAAGTCGTAAGAGTAGTAAAATATTTTATATATGTCCGTTGCAATTAAATCGATAAATTAAGCTTCAGTTATCGATCTCTTCCTTTTAACCTGCTATATTAGATTTTGGGATTGTCACTTTTTTCCATTCTTCCGAATAGTCGAGTAAGGTCTACTAGTCTAGATTTTTGTAGCTTTTGAGGTCTGCCAATTTAATCGATCCTACTAGTTTGACCTCATAATCATTGCAAGTAGTTAGATAAATTAAATTATTTTGTTTAAATAGATTGAACAGGATCTTCTGAAGAATAGCAGGAATAAGTAGTTTTCGAAATGTTACCGTATGATATATCGAATAAACAAATTTATGTGGAATTGCATCTTAGCTCAGTTACTGCATTTATTTGAAAATATATGCCTTCGCTGATGACATTTGATTTTTGCTTAGATGAACCTAGACGGCATCTTGATGTGCTTAGCATTTTCTGTTTCGAAATTCAAAATGGCTCATATTTTCTTATTTTAAAACTCCTCCCCTATATTTGTATGCATCTTTGTGGATATTCCTTGAAATCAGCGTCCGTTTTTGCCGATGTCACATGCATACGTCATCAGTCTTCTAGATCACTGAATAAACCCTTCAGCTTCTCTTATTCTGCATTTCCCTCTTCTGTATCCAGCTTTTGGATGTAGTCTGAATAAGAGGCCAATTCCATCTAAGTGATAAATCTACAAATAGGCTTTAGTATCATCATTTGTATAAAGTGTTCATTTACCAGTTTATTAGAGTCGACATGTTTTACACTAAAAGAAAAAAGCCCGAGTAACTTTTTCGTTTTGTTTTAGAGTGTATAACTTAATGAAGCTGTCTTCAACTTTAAAATTAATTGCATGGTGTTTGTTACAAATGTGACAGCCTAACAGACATGCCTGACTGAATATATCTCTAGTTATATCACATTGTAACTTTATGTTTTCTGGACAGATTGATCACATTGAATTCTGAATTAGTAGAGTTATTAGTTATTAATCAATAATATGTAGTCTGTATTCTTTTTCTAAATATTCATTTTCGCATATGACTACTCCCAGATAGACAGATACTAACCACTATTATTTTTTTAGTTACCGAAGTAAAGTTATAATATGCATAACGATGCCAGTTATTGGAGCCGTGTGTGTGTGTGTGTGATCTAGAAGAGAGACACTGAGATAGAGAAAGAGAGAGAGACGAGAGAGAATTAAGCAGACAGATGTAAACAATTTTCAGAAAACCAAAATAGTATTAAATAACAGCTGCTTGCTATACTATTGGAAAACTGTGACCTAAATAGTCTACAGCTAACTGATTGGTGCTTTTTTTTAGAGCTGTTGTCGAATATTGCACTTTTTCTCTACGATTTCAAAAAAAATTTGCAGTAAAAAGGACTCGAATTACAGTTACTCTAGGTAGACTTTATTGCTTTCCCTCTTTATGGTAAGTAAAATAGCAACTATTAACTACCTGCCTAACTGACTGACTGGCTGGCTGGCTGTGTGATGAAACCATGCAGGACTTTGCACAGAATTCCATCAGCTCATGTTGTCTCACTTCAAAATAATATGCTATTAAAAGGGTAGAACGGACTAGTGATATCACAGTGGTCAAACATAAGTATGTCAAAGAGAGAATGTTTGATTAAATGCACTGAAGAAGATACTGTCCAGATGAGTTATAAACTATTCAGCTCTGATAATAAAGCAACACCACTGCTGCTCCAGATATAAACAGAAGTACCTTTAACTGAATTCTACTCTAAAGGATGCTAAGAACAACAATTATCATTTTGAATGAATCCATGATGGAATAAAGTCAACTAAGGATACGTAGTGATACATATTATCTTTGAGCTGTGTCACAGCTTCCTCGTCAGTAGCTATTCATTTGAGGGGAATTTCATCCATAAAAATATTTTATTCAAAGGTGACCGATTGTTCATTCTGTGTCACTTTGGTTTAATAAACTGTCTATAATATAGCTGAAGACGTTGATGTTGTTAAACGTTACAAAGTGTATAGAAGCTAAAATGTTATCATTTTACGTTAATAAGTAGAATATTGAATGATAATTTTGTTATTGTTCTTCTTATAAGCTGTTTATGAAGTCAGTATAAGTATTGCCTACAAAAAGCCTTTGAATATACACTGAAGCGAACAATAGTAATAAGGTAGAAGTAATGTTTATTCGGATAAACTACAATGCACACTGTTGTCAGAAATTACAAATTACAGTAATATTCTCCTTGTCTTTTTCGTATAGGACTGTTCTCAGTGTTATTAGCCCCTTATTGTGTTTCTTTCTGACTGACTTTTTCAGTAAAACATAAATTACCATTATTTTTCTGAAGACGCTACCCAAAATACTTCTTATATCTATTTGCCAGTAGTGTAAACCACAGTACACTATACTGCAGGAATTTAAATAAAGTCAACAACTGGCATTTTAATCCTCAAAATATACTTTTGACGAAAATCTTCATTGTAATATGCATATAGTTATAACAAAAGTAAAGACAGTGAACACTGAATGTTAGTTGATTAGCCAATTTTCGTATCGGTTAGAGAATGATTGAAAACAGTTCGTGGTCAAACTTGAAGCCGGTCAACACCCTATAAACTAACACTCGAAAATTAATCTGGTCTTCACTAGTGACTGGTTATAGGAAAAATTTTCCTGGAGTTTCAGTGAGTTCATCAAGATGGATGTAAGGAAAAATACTCGTGGATGAGATTTTTAGCACTAAAGTCGCAAATTGACAGAAGTTATAATTGACGGGCAATTGGATTCCGCCCCAGCAGCTGAGTAATAAGTGAAATTGCCTTGTAACCTCACGGTCCTGCGTTTGGTTTCTTGTAGTCATAAATTTATACTGGTGAAGAGCCCCAAACTGGGACGGAACAGCTATCCAATAATCTCAGGTTTTCAGTGGATCGCTAACTGATACCAATTTGTCATCAAACTTGAGATCAATCGAATCCGTATAAACCAGAACTTGGAAATTAAGCTTGGTATGTTGGCTTGGACAGTCTAGGCGGTGTGGTTCACATACAATTACCAAGGGCCTTATAAAGTCATTTTTTTCACACATGAACGATTGTCATGTATTGTTACTTTTGCTTATTTTTCATTCGTGTACCTACAGGTGTAAAGAGTTAAAATTTAAGGTGAAGGTTCTTTTATGTAAACATCCGTATTGTGTATGTTTCTACATCATTTATCGTGTCTATTGTGTCTGTTCCTTTAAGTACTGAAACATACACTGAAAGAGTAAGTTTTAGATATTTCTTCTTTAGAACGAAAATTTCATATGAGGTGTTCTTAGCCTGTTCAATTATGTGACATTAAAGCTGAGCTAAAATCTGGACATAATTTTCTCCTGGTATGTTAAGAGGCAGTAGCATTTTGTAGCAGCTGTCAGAAAACCTCTCCTATGTAGTAACATACAGCTTATATTTAACAAAATTTATTTATAACAGAAATAATCAAGTGAAAGGAATTCTTATAACAATAACTTCATTTGATAAGCTTTCACAGTAAGATGCTCATAAATGGCTCTCGTTTTTTTCTAAGAGGAATTTCACCCACCTTTTCCATATGTAAATACTAAAGCTGATCATTATTTCTGATTCATTCTTCTGCATCCAAAGTGGAATATAAAACTTCAAGCTTCAACCTTTGAAGTTGTTGCTGTGGTAGTGTTGTTGTTTTATGAAGTGGATTTGTTAGTCTCACTCACACCCAGCCTTCTCTGTTTTCCGGACTTACTACCGGTTAGTCAATAAGGCGAAGTTTAAGGATGCAATCGTTGGGGATCGAACTCAGAACTCTTACGTGGCTGGAGAGCATTCTACCAATGAACCACCAATGCACAAGAAAAGTTATTTTTATATTAAATTAGGAAAAACCATTGATTATATATTTTATCATGTTAATCAAAATAGAAACTGACAGTTACACTACATGTTAATACAGACTAAATAATCTTTCATGTAATATATGAAGTGGTTTTTACGCAAAACTTTAACAGATAATGTACTGGTAAACGAAGCATATATCTGTCTGTGTGCTTTCAGCAGTTGTATATGCGCCTTGCTGAGGAGCCCCAACTAGTACGAAATGTAGGTCCAAGGCTTCCTGCCGATTGCATCCCACCGTCTAATATCATCAAATCAATGTGCACCGTGATAGCGAGCTACCTAGAATGGTCGCCACTTTGCCAACGTGACTAAGAGAATTCAGTCTGCACCAAACAAAGGACTAGCCAGACACATCACACTAGTTACTAGAGTCCAATCAAAGTTTAATGAAAGGTTAGGAAATACTAAAGTATTAATTTTAATCACGTTTTAATTTGAAACATACTATCTTAGAATGCTAAGTGCTCAAAATATTCATTTACCTACTTTAAAATACAATTTATAAAACACTATGATTGGTAAGTTAACTGGAAGAGATTTTTAATTGAAACTATACAAATGAATGAATACCTTCTAGAAAACTTAATTATTTTTAACCAGGTTTAAATAATTAAATAGTTTTAAGCAACAGACAAACAGATTCAGAAAATATAATTGATAAAAAGATGTTCAATCCCTGGATATCAACACTTGAAAATTAATCTGATGCTCACTAGTGGCTGGCCCTTTACTGGAAGTTACCTGGAGTTCTACTGAGAAGTTGTAACTTGCAGGGTCTGTCAAATCAGGTGGGTGGATAGTTGCTCGCTGATTGCGGTGGTGCTACACATATCGTGCTTAGGCAGTAGTTGGAATTCACGGGCCATTGGGTCGGCTGTCAGTGGCTGAATGGTCTACAAGCACACCTTGTAGGCAGAAATTCCTGGGTTGGAAAACAGGTGGGTGCGTACTGCTGACGAGTCCCAGACAGCTGTCCAGTAATTCCTGGTTTCCTACGATTATCTAATTGACGTCAGCTTGCGGTGAAACCGATAAAGAAGTCATCAAGTTACCTTTGCTATTAAGAATTAATCTTATTTCGTTGGTTGTTTCGATTTTACTTTAGGTATCTGGTTGAGAGAATGTATCGGGGTTTAAAAAAAGACCTTGTTCCTTATAGTGATATGAATTAATCGAAATGAATGAGTTTCTAATATTTATTGACTGAATGATGTCGAAAAGTATTTTTGTCAGTGAAAATGCATGAACTAAACTGTTATCTGAATTCTCTTTTAATTTACGCAAAGAATCGGTCCGGAATGGAATCGAATCCCAAACCTTCTTTTTAATTTGCTATTGATTGTTAATTCAAAGAAGAACACTTGATGACTTAATAGTGACTGTCTCCAAGATATATTTACCAAAGTTCTAATGGAATATTAGTCACCCATTGAATCACCTGATTCAGATGACAACAAACACATACTTCAATTTGACTTCATTTTGAAAATGTCAGTCGTACAACTACGAATTTACCTCTTTAGTCTGAATGGTGCCGTTGATGACTGACTGGTTGAGTTTCAACATAGGACTTTGTACAGAAGTGCAGCGGTTCAAGTTGCAACATTGTATGTACCATACAAAGGTAGAGAAAATAAGGAAAAAGTAATTCAAAAGAATTAAAATAAGCAGAAATAAAAGGGAAAGAATAGTAACTTTGAAAAATATGAGGTTTTAATGGATATTTGACATTACGAAGAGTTAATCTGTCTGCGCCACTGAGAACATTTTTGAGCCATATCACCAGCAGTCTCAATCCATTGATTCTTAGAGTCTTGAGTAGATCAACCAGACAGTCATAACTTCTTCACGTTGTGGTGAGAGCTGTCTGCAAGTCAAAATTATAGACAACAGTTTACGTCAATGTTTACATCCCGAATCAGGGTTATGAGAAAAAACAATAACAAAGCTTAACCTTGAGGAACGCACCAACCAATCACAGCAGACTTAACGTGTACAAATAGGATTCGCAGATATATGATTTAACTTTCTGAGAAACGGTCACAAGCAGTACAGAATGACCTTCAGGAAGAAAACAACCAATCAGAAGACGTTGCTTCTCTGCTAACAAGAACGTTAATAATAATGTACATAAAAATCTAAAAATATCTCTTGATTTTCTCAATAAACGATCTGTTGCCTGGCCCTTGTCTTCTGTCGTTACAACGTGACTGAAGACAACTATCAAGAAATCCATGAACCTGAAACTGTTTTTTAACCCAATCCTATGTCAGCTAACATTATTCATCGAGGAAAGCAGTGGGTCGGCATTAGCTTTGTATAAAGATCATCGAAGAGTTTTGAAGGGTAAAAATGAACTTTCAGGGTATCTTTTTATGCTTGAATCCTGTTGTTGAAGTGAAGAAGACCAGACAGAAATGAGATTACAAAACATGCATAAACTGTGACTGAAGTTATCTGCAACTTTCGATCAATCATAACTTTTGTTTAGGGAAGCAAGTTACATATAAAGGCAAACAGAAATGTAACCAGTAATAATTACACGTTATTAAGACCACTATTGATCTAATAACTGTAGAGTTCGTTGAAAGTGTTATTAGTATTATTAATACGCTTTTCATAAACTGGTGATTCAAATAGCCCATTGACTCAGTGGATAACACTTTAGTGTTTGAAACGAGAAGTGCTGGGTTCGAGTTTCAGTGGGAATACCAGCATGTTCATGTAACCAGTCGCAAAGCAGGAGGAAATGTACGTTCTGAATTCTACTGCCAGTCACCACAAATCAAATAATTGTAGATAGAATTTGTTAGATTTGCATTTCCTATTGTTTTAGCGTTTTTATTTCACTGGATTTCCCTATTTTCTTCCTTTTTTTCCCCTTTAACTTCTTAAAGATTCCAGTTGGAACGTGTAATTCACCAGCTTGTATTGCTGTACGTAATCTATTGAAAGCATTACAAAATCGTTATAATGATTTAATGAATCAGTATATACAAATGCAACAGTGTACAACAAATGGTCAAGCAATTGAAATGAATACTAATACCAATAATGATAATGATAGTATCATTCTTAGAAAATCATCAAGAACACCAGCTTTCATTGAAGAATTATACAATCAGCTAACAAATATATCAATTTTACTGAGTGAAAATAATTATAATAATAAACAAGACATTAGAAATTATGAATTAGGTGAAAATATTAACATGTGTTTACGGTTAATTGGTTTATTGAATAATTGGATTAAATCATGTCTAACACAGAATGATATGGAGATAGCTCATCTGCGTTCAGTAATTATGAATTTACGTATGTGTAGTGGAACAAATGTTGATCAAAAGACAGCAGTATTCACCTCGTCTGTAGCCAATCCAATCAGTAGTGATGATTATGAACAGAATAAACAACAAACTGTAAGTTTATGTGGTATTGTTAATAGTATTAGTAGTAATAGTAACTAATTCTTCTTTATATGAGACTGTTGCATTCAAAACTTCACACATTTCTTCCCATTGATAAACTTGAACAAAGCAAGAACGAAAATAAATAGTAGTGGGATAGTATAAAGTTCATTTTCACTCATTCATCAATTCTTATCAACTGCTTACAACCTAGACAAGACAAAAAGGATTTAAACACATTCTGAAGAGTTTTTTGTTTTCGTTCCTTTACGTTCCCAGTAGAACATAGGGCTTCAAGCTAGAGGCTTGAAGTTTCGGTAGCAGTGGTGTTTATTTTTACGGGATGGGGTTGCTGGCCTCATGCCCAACCTTCTCTCTTAACCAGTCTTATTACTGGCTTAGCGAGGTAAAGGAGTACGTCGGTCGGGGATCGAACCCCAAACCACTGATGCACTATTTTGACATATAGTTATTGACAACAACTGTATGTAGCATATATCAGGAATGATGCAAATGGTTAAATTATTAAATGTTAGAAGGACCGACTGTTTATTAGATAATTAGATCAATTTTCTTGTCAGAAAAGGAGAAATTTCAAAACTTTGGATCGAAACGAAATTTAACTACAAAGAGTATGTTAGTAAGTTAAACAACTACAAAAAGTGTATATTTTATGCAGTAGCAATGTGATGAAAGCATATTCAAACCTCTTTTTAGTAATTCAAGTTTTCTGGTATTGTTTAGGTTGTAAATAGTTGAGACAAATCCGCGAAATAATTAACAAACTGAGCTCATATTATCTTGCTACATTTGTTATTTTTACGTCTTCTTATTGCTTTGTCTACATTCTACTATACCAGAAAGCACAATGAATTGTTAAGTCTGTTTATTTTATTAAGGACAAAACAACTTTTAACTGAATTACACGTTCATACAAGACGTAAGATATAGTTGTCATGTTACTACAACAAGTTGACACTACACCGTTGAATATCTATGTAACCTCATTCAATTTCTCATAAATCATCAAATATCAATTTGTAAGGAAGTATTCTGACAACAGGTTTGTACATGTTTACCTAAATGTGATCCTCTGAGTCACTCTTTTCTGTTTTCAGAAAAATTACTACTTCATTACATCAAGACAATATCCATGTCTGTTAAAATAAACACTTACATTGTTCTCAGTTCAACGCTAAATGAAGGTAGCCGTACTGATGCTTTAGAAGAGGAATCGTTCATAAGTACAGATGACTGACTGTTAACTTGATGCATTCATTGAGCTTGATTATTTCTATGATTGGTTTGTAAGGATTAGATTTGTTTTTACGAGTTGATCACGGATTGATATCAGTTAGAGAACCATTGAAAACCAGGGAGTACTGGACAGCTGTTTCATCCTAGTTTGGGTATCATCGGCACATACGCACCCACCAATCATAGAAAATTAATCTGATGCTTGCTAGTGACTTGCTTCAGGATGGAGTTTCCTGGAGTTCTAGCGAGAAGTCGTGACCATTGAGGTCCATCCAGTCAAGTGTGAGGATGGATGTCCCACTGATGACATTGGTTGGGGTCGCGCTAAATCACGAATTGGTAGAAGTTAGAATTCATGAGCTGACCAATGAATCGGGTCCCAGTGGCTGAATGGTATACGAGCTTGCCTTGTAACTGGAAGGTCCTGGGTTCTAAACCCAGTTGGTGGGTGCGTACTGCCGATGATTTCCAAACTAGGATGAAACAGCTGTCCAGTACTCCCTGGTTTTCAATGGTTCTCTAAATAATATCAATCCGTGATCAACTTGATTATTTCATTAAAAACAGTTTATATTTACTGATTAGAGCCACTATCATCATCATAAGGATTTTCAAATAATGAAATGATTGTTAGCCCCAAGGTAAGAAAATATTCACGGCCAATGGAGTTGTACTAGAGTTCATACATAGCAGCAGAAAGTGTGTTTTCCGTCAACACTCAGAACTGTTACTTTTTTAGCAATATCTCTTTTATTGTGTAAAATGTATCTTTGATTCATCCGTTAGCTGAAGTCATAAAGCTTAGAATCTAAACATAATAACATTATTGATGGTTACGCCCAAGTATATTGTTTGCCAAAAGCGATCAGTGAATCAGCTGTAGGAGGACACCATTAGGAAATTAATACAAATAACAAATGTATTCTAGGAAATGAGTTTATGCATTTCAGATAAGCCTTGGCATCTTCAACTGCAAAGTGTTTACTTATCGTGTAGTCTTCAAATAAGTTAATAATCCGTAATATATGTTTTGAAGCAGTATTGTTCTGTCTAAATCACGATCTAATAACCTGCCACGATATTCCCCATTTTCCTTGAAAAATCCATAGTGGTAGGTCAAAACCTATTTGTTGAATATAGGCGTGAGTAAAGATTGCAATTCAACGATATAAATGAGTAATTAGAACAACATGAGATGCATTTTGATAGATGAAAAATTCGTTAGTCCAGTGATTTCAGCAGCCTACCAGGTATAGTCAAATAATATCAAGTTTTACGTTTCGCTCTCGTGCCTCAAAAGCCTAATGAGCAATCCTATGGAGATTTAAATGATCGATGTGTGAATCAGGCGTCAGAGTTGAAGCTATCACCCACTTGACTGCATGTTCGTTTATCCACTGGTCGAGTTCGAAATAAGACGTAATCTACCTTCGAAATACTTCAGATATTTCTACCTCGTCTTTTGATACGTTAGAAGGTGCTCCTTAGCCTAAAAACTTCACTACCTCTACATACACATGCTGCCGTTAGGAACACTATTCCAAATAATGGATAATGATGGTGGCCTTTTACTCAAAATTTTGATGATACGCATTTAACCGGAGTGAATAGTTAAAACACTTTTCACAATTCATGTTACTGGTACACTTAGCAAACTCGTAGGTAAATTTAGTTGAAGATTATTTTTGTATTTGCCGCCGACTTACGGTGCAAGTATATATATATATATATATTGATGGGAGAATACGTTTTTAAAAAAGAACACTACTAGTTTCCGGTACCCTTTATTTTATAAATTATGTAGCTCAGGCGCAAGTGAGTCATCAGATTGGAACTGCGTCTTTAACTAATATCTAAAGAAGATATCATAAGTCGAAGCAGAATTAAAAGTAGTAAATTGTGATGAAAGGATTTCCATCAGTTAACAATAGAAGTTGGAATTTGTGGACTATCAGATTCTAAAACTACTCATTTAGTCATTTAAAGCATATACTAGTAATTCAGTGAGTTCAGACAGCACTTTTAGATTTATATTGTACTCAAAATACATCAGTATTAGTGTGTTCAATTGTCCAATATATTTGTTTCAACAACATAAATGATGTACACGTTTTCTTGAAACAGATACTCTACTTACACTTATACATTAATATAATTTTTTAAACTTTTATGTCGTTTTCTTTTTTTTCAATTTTTGTCAGTTCTCTTGTTCAATTAGTTTAACTAGAAAAGAGGATCCGAGTAAATTTCTGCTTCATGAACAAGAATTATTTGATTTAAGAGAAAGACTGAGATTAGCTGAAGCTAGAATTCAAGCTACATCAGCAATACAAGATAGGGAATTGCCTCAGTTACAGTTTTGGTGAGTAATTGTGTCTTTGTGTAATGATTAATTGTATGTTTTTTGTTCACACATTAGATAGGTGAACTGAATCAACAGAACACCTTGATCCTTTATTTCATGCCTATCTACATATCTTAGGAGGATGTGTCTTCAGCCTAGGTGAAACTCATGTCCCAGTCAAGATCCTAACCTATATCAGTTATTACAGCAAACAGAAACTTACCATTCAGATAGTTGGGTCAAGGCTGATTGGTCTCTTTACACTCTGTGTGTTCCGAGTGGGACATAAAGCTTTAAGTTCTTAAGTTTCAGTAGTGATGGTGTTGTTTTTTCCGGGTGGTGTTGCTAGCCTCACTCCCAACCTTGCGCCTTACATGGGGGCTAGTAAGCTAGGCACAATTTAGGAGTAAGTCGGTGGAGAATCAAACTTGAACTTCTCGCTTAGCTGGTGAGTATTCTACCGTTGAGCCACTGACGGAATTATCTTTACTTAAAGGTTATTTATTCAGGTCTCTTCACTGTATGTATTTACACATTGATCAACTTTACAGTATACTGAATTGTTGAAGCGCATAACAAATGCGGTATGGTCAGATTAAGGACAACCACTTATTATTCTTCATTCAAGGAAAAAGATTTAGAAATCGGATTTATTATGCGACGATATAAACTTCTAGATACCAGTGGAAATCAGAAGTAAAAAAGTTAATGTTTGAACTCAATTACTTATGAAAATAAATATATGGTTTATATGTAATTGATTATGTTGAGAATTAAAAGTTAGGTGTTTGAATACAAAAGGCAATACTTTCCAGATGTTGAGAATTTCTTAAAGTAAAACCATTGTTCAGTATCTTTATGGATTCTTGACTTTATTTAAGAGGTCTTAAATATGATGATTAGTCTCTAGAGCCTCATTGTAAGATTACTCGATTGTATCGGACAAGTTTGTAATGTGGGCACCAAGCTGCGTAACTTACCGTCACAATGGACTTTGAGGTGATGTAAGTTGTTATTAGCAATCGACTAGAAGCCGTATAGCTAGTGTTTGGTACTTTGTGGCAGTCGTCAGAAAGGCGTATCTGCCTCCTCGAGAGATTTAATGTCACTTCAAAGATTTAAGCTCACGTTACCCACTGCTTCAGTCAGTGACTTTGGCCTCGTGACTAACTTCCAATAAGATTGTAATGGATACATTGACTAGTCGCTACGGAGCAAACAATGTCATCTGTCTTACTACATTCTATCAGTCAAGTTTTCGATGTGGTTATCAAACTGGGTGACTTACTACCATGCTAATACATGGTTGGATGCATATTCAGCAAGCCTTAAATTCAGGTTTTAAAAAAACACATTGATAGATTATTTCTATCTTGCAATACCACGTCAGCACTGTTCATTAGTTTGAACCTTCCAAGTAGTTTCATTAATAGAAGTGACTTGATTCAATAAAAAGAGTATCTTCCAGTAAAAATAGGGATAGTTTTGAACTTACACAGGTCTTGAACGTCTCGGTGTTTCTATTATTGTCATTATTATTCGCCATGGACTTCGAGTGGAACAAAAGACTTCAACAGCCCATCTCCATTTCATCTTGTTCTCTGCAGTTCTCTCTAGCTGGTTTCAGTATTGCCTGTTAAATCTCATCTTCTCCTCACAAGATATTCCTGACGTCTAACTCGTGTTTTCCTATTCGGATTTTCCTCGAGGGCGCGGCGCGAGATGTCACTCAATGGTTTTCTCAGAGTGCGTCCGATTTATCTCAATTTCCTTCGGTATACTTATTGAGCAATAGACTGTTGCCTTATCCTTTCAATGATTCTACCATAATTTCAATTATACTCATTGAAATCTGTACAAATGAATTTCCTTCTTCTCTTTTTTTTTGTTTTGCTCCAGATTTCGTCGATCCGAATAGTGTTGTTTGGTTTTTTTCTCAATAGGAAATAAAAAGCTATTCATCATCACATCAAACATTGAAAATGAAATTCGGCAAGCAAAAAAAAAGAAAACCATGAAAAAAAGGCAAAGAAAACTAAGTTACATCACATTAGTACTATACTTACATAATATATATAAATATATACAATATTTTACTCAATATTCTCTCTCTCTCTTGTAATCATTTTTATTACTTTAATGCCATTTATTTTTATTTTCTTTGAATATTCAATGACGTACGTAAACATTTGAATAATATGCAATATGCAGGTGATTTTGTGTCCCTGTGTTTCCGATCCTTTTCTCTCTTTGTCTCTCTCTCTCACACACTGACACACACATACAAACACAAACGCATACATCTTTTCGCCTTCTCCTCCTGAGTACCATTTTCGTCAGCAGTCACTTTTGTTTTACAGTGAGACATTCAGCTAGATAAACTTTAAACACGTTTTTCATAAAAACGGATTAAAATGGGAAAAACAGAGAGAAAAAGACGAAAACTGCCGTGAATTTTTCATATCTGTTTTTTTCCTTGTCACAGTTTTCCTTCTTATTCTTATGATTTTCGTCTTTTTTTTTAATCTTTTCCGTGTTAGCCGGTAGTTGTTTCCTTCTTACTGCTATGTCCACTTCTGTTTGACAAGAATTTTCACAAGGTATCATGAGGTGTTTTCATGGTGGGAATTCTTGATCACTGTCCCCATATTTATATAATCACATTCTCAGTATGATCATGATCATGGTCACTATCGAATTCATCCTCATGTATTATTCCCATTTATATGATGTGGTGATTTATGCCCCAGTTTGATATAAAGAAGTGATGAATAGTGGTCATCACTTTAACTGTGTCTGTCCCCATTCACCTTTCGATCAGGTTTTCATTTTGTTATCTAATTTTTTGTTCATTCATTCATTCATTCTATCATTTTATTGTCAATCCTTATTTCAAGTACTCGCTCCACCCCACCCACCCCCAACAACAACAATCCGCTTTGACAAACTTTGGATAATGCGAAAAATATAACGAAAAAACCAGCAAACAAACAAACAAGAGAAGCGTGGAACACTTTTTTCCGACTCTCTTTTTATAACTGACTAACTAACTAGCTGACATCATACTTTTAGTGTATATTTACGCGTTAATTTTAGTCATACTTTACATATTACATTTTATTGTGTAACTGTTATTTTAATGCATAAGTGTTGTTTAATAATAATGATAATAATTCTTAAATTTTTCTTTCATTTTCGTCTTTATTTTCTATGTTCAAGGGTTGTATAACTTTACTCTTCTCTATACAACGGTGTTCCTTTGTCTTTGAAAGTTGTTTCTTCAATTTTCGGTACATTTAGTGAAAATATTCCAGGTATATACTTATACTTGGGTGTGTGTGTGGCGATGGGGTGGGATGGGTAAGAGTGGATTTTCATGAACACAGTAACCTTCTAAAGTTTAGCAGCCCTTTTTCTTCTTGTATGCAGCATTTACACAAATACATATATCTATACTTAAATGAAGGACACTTTTCTCGTCAATACGTTTCATTTGAGATGCCTTTCCTGATGAAAATAGGCATACATTAACATATGCATCTCTGTCTTTTGTTTTTTATTCCTATTGCTTTTTGTTCTAGTTAGCTATCTGGTGGGGAGTACAGTGGAGACTGTCAACTAATGTCAAATGCTTTCTCTCCTTCTGTCTCTCTGTCTCTGTCTATGTAGGCTAATTTTATCTATTTGTAGTAAGGAGTTTCTCCTTGACATTACTTTAATCTTTTATCAGTTCCATTGGCGTATTTTCTTCCTCACTTCTTCTTTTGATTATGTGTATACTCATATAACACCTTTTAATCATTATAAACGTAAGCGTTGAAAGGGTGCTCCTTTTCTCTCTCTCTCTCTCTCTCGTCATCTTAATCAAAATATCATAATCATTTATTCATATTTTATGATGACTAAAAGTTTCTTTTGTCTTCTCTGGAAATTTCTGAAAAGAAATCAAACGAATCATATGATCACTTTAATTACCGCATAGTTTAATGAATCCTGAACTATTCCTCATCACTTTGAGTTTCTCGTCTTCATTTGCGCAGGTCGAACTCTCTTTCCTCACACACACACACACTCACACAACCCCCGCCCGTACTTCTCTTGTATCTTTTCACCACTTTTTATTGTGTCAATACCATCTGGTGGTATAATACTCAATAACACTTTTCTCATTTATTGTTAAAAATTCATCTTTTTATTGTTTATGTTGTTATTTGTGTTTATTTCTATCTGCTTAACTTTTTACTTGTTCATTTTGTTTTCCCATTAATAATCTGTTTACAATGCAATCAAAATCCACTTACTTTTTATTATATAATAATAATAATAAATAAGTTGATTACTTTTTTCATGATTTTGGTTTCAGTTGTAATTATTGTTCTTGTTTTTTTTAGTGTTTGTTGTGTTTTTATTTTGTGTGTCGTGTAATATAGTAAACTGTTACAGTGTGTTATTTTGGTTGATGTGGTAGCTAACAGTGAAATTCAAAGTCATACGTTTCGTCCTATTTTGCAATTCGTCATATGAATGAACTTATATCCCAGTAAGCGATGTTGTTCTCATCCGCACTGAAGCCCAGTACCTATTATTTCAAACACTGTAACGCTGTCGACTAGGTCTCTGGACTATCTGTTGATATACGGTGCTAATTTACTGAATGGCTATGACTGTTAGTCATGATGATGTATAAATGTGAATATGATGGGGAAGATTTGTAGCTCAGGTGGATGATTCTGATGTAACGTCCTGGGCACATACTTCAAACTGAAGTATTCGCTGAAGATGTTGCCTAGTAGGGCAATGAAAGCTTCGCAAATAAACCATCCAGCTCAGAGAACACAACCACATCAAAATCAATGTAAATCTAACTTATAACTTCAGTGATACATTATTACTATGACGTTGGTGATTCATTAGGAGAATGCTTGCCAACCATCTAGTTGGTTTCATTGCCGACCGACGCACTCCTAAATCTCGCCAGGTCTGCTACCTATCAATAACCCAGGAAAAGAGGAAAGGTTGAAAGCTAACAACTTGGATCCGTATAAAAACAACCCTATCGCCAGTATTCCGCTCAAAACGCAAAGGAATGGTAAAAAAATGCTATGGCATTAAATGTTCTGCTACCGACAACGTTGACTTTAATTACATCTTTTGATAAGTACTGATGAATTAATTACATTCATACATAATGTTATTCTTGTGTTACTTTTGGGGTATTTTTTATACAGACTATAACAATTATTTGAAACTTGATAAAAACTCCGTACTTCTCAGCCTGTTTGCGAAAATGAAAACGGAGGTAACATCCAGTTAAACGAGACTTCTAAATGAGAGGCTGAAAGTGTCATTTATACTGTTTGGTAATTCAAGTGGTAATATATATATATATATAATGCATTTCACTTGATTTATTCTAAAATAGTATTTCTTTTCTACTCTCTTCTCTGGATGAGCTAATTAAGGTATAACTTGAAACCTTAGTACATAAGTCTACATATATGAGTAAGTTCACAGGTGAAGAGATCACGCATATCTTAATTGTGAATGAATAATAATTAGGATAAAACGGAAGGTTAAATCTTTATCCTATGGATGCAGATAGTCAACAGGAAGCTCAATCATCTAATAATAATAATAATAATAATAATAATAATTTCATCGTGTTGATGTATTTCTAACCTTGTTGACCACATTGTAAACTTGACGGATAGAATTCAGTCAGCACTAACCACACTAAGAAATAGACACATAAACCTATTTAAAACCTAGTGGCCAACCAACGTAAAATTCCTTTCTGATTTCTATTCAGCACCGTAGTATTGTGGTGAGAGCTAGCCGAAAGCCAAAAATTGTAGACAGCAATTTACTTGAATGTTCACGTCCCGAATCGGGGTCATGAGAAGAAACAATAATAAAGCTTAGTCTTGAGGAACTTACCAACCAATCACAGCAGACTCAACGTGTGCAAATAGGATTTGTCGATATGTGGCTTAACTTTCTAAGAAACGGTCGCAAGCAGTACGGAATAACCTTCACTAAGAAAACAACCAATCAGGAGATGTTGCTTTTCTGCTAACAATAACGAATATTAATGTAAATAAAAATCTAAAAATATCTCTTGATTTCCTCAATAAACGATCTGTTGCCTGGTTCTTGTCTTCTGTCGTTACAGTATTTAAAAAAAACTGTATGCTGATTACTACATAACAGTAATAATATGAAGGCATTAACTGATAACAGCTTATAAATTATCAATGAATCGATATTAAAAGATAAACTATTATTCTTCAGTAAGCATCAAGCAGTGACTTATCAACAAGCTTTTAACGTGCTTTTGTACACATATGTTTCATTTCTTGTTCTCCAAAGAGAACACAGGGCTTCAAGCTTTCAGAATTTTACTAGCGTTGGTGTTGTTCTTCTATAGAGTAGAGTAGCTAGCCACACGTCAAACCTTACCTCTTTATTGGACTTACCATAAGCTATTAAACTGAGAGAGGATTTTTGAAGTGATTCGGCCAGGAGTCAAAGGTAAATCTCCCACTGTCTCTACATCATTCCACTACTGAACCACTGGTGTACGGAATATGTACTGGATACAGTTTAAAAATGAAGTATAAGTAATTGTGACTTATCCACTACCAGGCTGAATTCTTCTTCCAGTCATTATATCAGCTAAAACATAGTGAGAAAGGAGGTGGTTGGTTGAAATCAAGTACCTTGGACTGAGTATTTCCTCCGATCTTTCCTGGTCCTCTCACATCTTCCTAGTGACTAGAAAGATGTTTCGCTTAACGTTCTACGTTAGGAAGTTTAGGCAGTCTGGTATAAAGCAGTCTTTGCTTTCTCAGTTTGTCAATTCCTGTATTCTACCCATCCCTCTTTACTGCTCCCTATTAATCTTCCCTGGACTACTTAAAAAAGACTTTGCTTCGCTGCATAGGGCACTAAAAGCTGTTAGTAGGGGAAGTGGGATTTCGTTAAACCAACTGGTTAACACAATTGTGGATAGACATATAATGTCATGTAAGAAACTAGCGAATTCTATATTGTCAGACCCCGAACACCCTCTCTATACGCAGCTCTCTCCTTGCATTTCATCTGGTAGAACTAGAAGCAACTATAGGAGGCTATATGCCAGGACTACCAAGTATAAAAACTCCACAATACCTTATCTGGCACAGCTGTTATGTGATGAGAAAACTGTTAGGCATGACACGATCAACTTACTGCGGCACTCTAACAAATAGTTCCCATTAGCTTTTGTTCTCCTTTCTTTGTTACTATTATATTGTTGCTCATATATTCTATTACAGACTAATTTTATATATCATAACCTGTGGTGCATTGTTTAAATATGTGAATGCAATGCTGTTCTTTTTTTTTATTTCTGTTATTTCTCTTTTTTCTTTTTGTTGTTGTTGCTTTATATTTTTAAATCCTTATAAAATTTATGAGGTAATTAGATGCAATATTATAATGCACGCTGAAAATTCCATACCTGTACCACAAATACTGTTTGGAATAAAGCCATTATTATTATTATTTATCGTGATGAAGATATAACGACAACTTTTTTCTGTAAGTTAAATCACAAATCTCAAATAACGGATAAATTATTTGATGAAACTCTACAATCCTAAGTGAATCCAGTAACAAAAATAATCAGTTATTAGAAATGACTAATTTTCCAGAACGTTAAGGGCTACACTGCAAATCAACTGTATTTCCTCCAGCCTTTCATATGAAGACTAAAAATCAACCGGTCGTTTCTCAAACTGTAATGCCCTTGAAAAAATTGGAGACATCTACTTGACGGGATAGTGCGGGACTAATCACACTATTTTCCATGATACAGTGGTTAAGTTGAAATTATTTGATAACAGAAGCATTTTTGGTGCCAAGTAACCAGGTTTTTCACTTTACATTAATTATTTTAAAAGCTTGATTAGGTCCATGTTGCTCACAGTCTTAACAACTACGCTTGCAAACAATTTCCTAGTTTTCATATAAAAACTATTAGGATTATTCTCAGAAAATCTAGTAGATGCCTTCGTCTCTATCTTTCCTATGTAACTGCTACTAAAACGTGCATGTGAACTTGTGTATACAACTGCAGCTGATATGAACAAGACATGTATCTACTTCAGGTTGAAGCAATCATCATTTCGTGTTATTAGGCAAAATAAAACGAGCGGCGGATAATGTCCTTTTCAGTGCAACTTTGATTCTCTTTCCGATTACTGTTGATGTTTCATCCCATTTATACGCCAGACTGATGACACTGGTTTCTTTTCAACCGTTATGGCCTTCAGTCTGAAAGTTTCTTTTCTCTGAAATTTCATTACGAACTTCTTGGGATATTCATTATCCACTGCATTCATTTCAATCACCACGAACTCCAATTTTATTTTCTGAACTTAGCACTTTTGCTTCACTGAACAGTTGGGCTACTCCAATTTGCTTAGTTGTTTGTTTACGTAATAATTTGGCTTTTGTTTAACATTTCTTTTCTCTCCCACCCTCTCTTCTTTAAGTTTCCATCATATTATGTGTAAATAAACTCAGGTGGTTAGATTGTTAACCAACTTTTATTCATGCTACTTGTTGCATTCTTATGCTAAAAATGATTTAACATCCACTGAGTTGGAATAATTTTTGAAGTATGTTATATATTTAGATCTATAGTAGCTTATGTCATTTTTAGGCTGTTAGCAACTGAAGAAAAGTTGTAAAGTAAAATTAACTCTTTTTATTCTGTGAATAAATTTGTTCTTGCTTCGTTCAAAATGAGGAGAATTTCGTCAGAAATCATAAAATGACGCTGAACCTCTAAGACGTAGATTCTTGTACACACGTTAAACAACCGTCCCAAATCCTGAAACTCATACCTATTTGTGCTGATCTTTTAATTTAATTCTTGCAGCAGTTTAACTACTTATAAGTAGTCTAATTTTTTCATTACTATTTCAATGTTTTCGCTCACTGATTTTTTACTCTCTAACATACTTCTCGGTATGTTATAGTATTGAACTTTGAGGTGGTTGAGACAATCAGTATGAGTATGGTTGCAACCCATGAGATTGATGATTTACTAGAGGAGCTGTAATTACATTTCTAGATGACATCTTCAGTTTGTTAGCTTAAAAATCTTGAAAATAATTAACACTACTCTTGGTGATATAATCAAATAAAGATTACCACGGTGGGTTAGGGGTAATACAAAAACTAATTTTTTATTACCCTTAATCTACTTTGATTATCCTTATCTGATTATATTATGAAGATTAGTGTTAATTACTAGCCTTATTCTTAAATCCCTTACCACTTTGTTTATTTTAATTGGCCTAATATTTTTCTTATCGATTGATTTTTCGAAATACATCAAATTTTCCAGA